AAGGTTTAAAAATACATGTTAAATAAGTATATGAGCAGAATTAAGTGGTAACAATACGAGAGTTTGTAAACCTGAATATTTCAGGAAGTATTATAATAGACCTTGTTAAGAATGGTTACTAAGATGCGTCTCAAGAGTCACTTTAACAAAAGAACTCCTTTACTCTGCCATCCTAGTAACAACAATTATGCACATGCTTTATGAAATGAAAAACAATTTTTTTTTTATCAACTACTACCCTCTCCCCCCAACCAAAACGAGACATTGTCCTCAATGTTCTAAGGTAGAAAGATAGAGTATAGAAGATATCACCTGAAATAACGAACACTGACAAACCTGAAACACACTGAAACAAATATAAGAAACAACAAAACACAATAATAAAACCAAGCATGTGTATGTACAGGTAGTTGTGATTGTGGCTCACATCTTCCCTTGGTTTTACGTCCAAGAACGGCTTAAACGCCCTCTATGGGTCGGGGATAGGCTTCCCATCCAGTTTTCTTAAAAACTGGCAAACAGGGTCTTTTTTAGTCAGATTCCCAAGACTAAGTCTATCATGTTCTTTATGAAATAGTGGCCATAAATCATGAATTGCACGATGCACATCTCCACTAGGATGCGTCTCAAGAGTCAATAGAAGATTATCTAAAGACTCCTTACTCAGGCCATCCTTAATGAATTGTATTTTATCTTCACGGTTTATAGATACCATTCCTAAAGAACGACATTGTGTATTACAAGTCCATCTAGCACATCGATGACAGACATCCAGTCGTTTTGCACGACGCTTCTTTGCAAAAGTGCTTTTACCTGTTCCAGGCATGTGTGAAATGAAGTTAGAGGACTCACCTGATAATCGGACCTTTGCTTCAATCAACCAACGAATATCTTCAGGAATTCCATGATTCATTAATAATCTCAATCTTGCACATCTAGCACGGTAAATTTTTGTAATCGCATTCTGAGGCAGAGCGGGAAAATACTTTTTCAATTTTTCAAGATTAGTGTCCATTTTCAAATGAGAATTGGAAGAGAGATTCAAAGAATTGCACAGATATATACACAGATATCAGTAATTGTGGGAAACTGAAAGAACCGACTTAAGTCACGGAGTACCGTTATCCGCCATTTGACCGGGGTGAGAGAAACTAGCAAAAATCACTCAAAAAGAAACACAAAAACAATGTGAGAAAAAAAATAATCAACCTTTATCTACAAAATCATTCAAACCAGTTGATTCGTTTTCATTAAGAAAATTATCAAAGTGAGCTTTCAAACGATGTCCATTTTCCTTAAAATCATTGTCATTCATTGAATTCTCAATATCACAGGCCCCATAAGGATTGCTCCATCTTGGTCTTAGCTCTCTAGGGACTGCATAGAGTTGAGAATTATAAAACAAAACTTTTTGACCAGTATCAATCTTTTGACAATTTTCACAAGTTTTGCAGAATGCATGTGTGTCCTTGAACATGGTGGGCCAATAAAATCCATTTTGAAAGATTTTTGCAGCAGTCTTTTTTGACGAGAAATAACTTCCACATGCTTCAGAATGACAAAGTTTAATGACACTACTTACCTCATTGTCGGGAATGAATCTTTGAAATATTTGATCAGGACAATATTTGAATAAGTTAGGGTCATCACAATAAAAGCTCTTCACTTCGTTCAAAAACTTTTCTTTGTCTTGGGTACTCCAATCAGCTGGCAAATCTCCTAAAGCAAGAAAATTGATATTTTTATCATACCAAGGCATTGAACTAAGAGAAAGTAAGGATTTGTTAGGAAAGTAATCATCGATTGGTGTGATGTCAGATGTCGAATCTGTTGTCACTGTTGACAAAAGATTTGCATCAACATTTTTGGTGCTTGTTTCATCCGTGATTTCTTCCTCAGAATAAATCATTTGCAAATCTTCAGTTTCATCCAATTCATTTTTACTTAAAGTAGATTCAAGTTGATCATAAACTAATTCATCAATATGATCTACTTCTTGTAAATCATTATCATCTCCAGGTTGCTTGCAAATGTTGAAAATATTCATCTCCAATGTCATGTTTCCAAATGATAGCTTCATCAGTCCATTCCTACAATTAATCAATGCATTAGAAGTTGCAAGAAATGGACGTCCTAAAATAACAGGAAATGAATTACATGCTTCAACAGGTTCTGTGTCCAAGACAATAAAATCCACAGGATAAATGAATTTATCGACTTGTACTAACACATCTTCAATTATTCCTCTAGGCACTTTTACAGATCTATCGGCAAGTAAAAGAGATATAGAAGTTGGTTTTAACTCACCTAGATTGAGACTTTGAAAAACTGAATATGGAAGTAAATTCACACTAGCTCCAAGATCAAGTAAGGCTCTTTCAATTTTATGCTCTCCAATAAAGCAAGAAATTGTAGGACAACCAGGGTCTTTATATTTCAAAGCATTATTGTTTTGAAGAATAGCACTTACTTGTTCGGCTAGAAAGGCTTTCTTTTTCACATTCAGTTTCCTCTTCACAGTGCATAGATCTTTCAAAAATTTAGCATAGGAAGGAACCTGTTTAATTGCATCCAGCAAAGGTATATTGATCCTTACCTGTTTGAAAATTTCATAAATTTCAGAATTGTGATTGACTTTCCTTTGTTTGGTCATGGCTTGAGGAAATGGAAGTGCTGGTGGTGAATCAGTCGTTTCTTTGCAATTTTCAGATTCATCCCCTTCCTTACCCTCAGAGATTGATTCATCATCTTTCTCATAAGGTTCAAGAGAGGGTTTTTCAATAACCTTACCACTGCGTAGAGTAGTGACTGATTTGACTTGATCCATGTGTTGGCTTCCGGAACTACTTGCATTTGCATTGTATTGCCCTTTGGGATTTTGTTGTGTTTGAGATGGAAACTTACCTTTCTCTTGGAAACTGAGAGCAGATGTTAATTTAGCAAGAGTATCTTTAAAATCTGTCATGTTTTGAGCAAGTTGAGTATTGATTGTCTCTTGCTTTTCAATGAATGCATGCAATGTTTCCTCAAGATTTCTTCTAGGAGGTGGAGCATAAGGAGGTGCATATCCATGAGAATTTTGGAAATTATGGTGTGCTTGAAACGGTGATTGTGAAGTTTGTGCATTGTTGTTCTCACTCTTCCAATTGAAATTTGGGTGATTTCTCCAACCAGGGTTGTATGTTTGGGAGTATGGGTTGTGGTTGGCCCTTTGGAAACTGTTTAAAGCATGGGCTTGTTCATGGAGACATTCTTTAAAAGAAGGCAAGGTTGGACAATCGTTGGTTGAGTGTTCATTTGTTTCACAGATTTGACACACAATGTTTTCAACAGATTTTAATTGACCATTGTTTTTCAATTCTAGTGCCTCGACTTTTTTAGCTAAAGATGCAAACTTGGCTTGGAGGTCATGATCTTCCCTAAGGTTGTACATACCTCCACTAGATGTATGAGGTTGAGTTTTACTCGGTGCCTCATAAGTACCCGATGAAGGTTTAAGTTAGATTTTTATGATAAATGATATGCAATTTGAGTGGGGGTTTGAATGTTATCTTGGTTAAAGCAAAAGAAAACAGAAAACTATCAAGCAAAATTAAATAAAATCTAAAAATTATTAAGAGAACAAACCTTGATTTCAAGTAAATGACCACCTATGAAAATCAAAACTGATCGTGGAAATGAAATATCAATTTATATTATGAATATTTATCTATTTTTAACATTGGTTAGTTAACAGATCTGTTGTATAACTAACCCTAACCATCAAACAACCATAGTGTCTGCACTAGTAATTTAATTCAATGGCAGCCTTAGAAACTAGATAAGTTGATTAATCAAGAAAACATAATTGTCCACAGTCTATATTTGATTCGATTGAATATTCTCCCTCGGATTAATAACTTAGATCCGCCACAATTATTAAACTTAGTTACTTCACAAGTTTATATACCACAACTCCGATTTTGATTTCATACTTAGCAAAATATTATCTACAATAATAACTCAGAGTCTGCTCTAGCAAGTAAACTAAATAGTCATAGAAAAAATAAGCATAGGAGAACAAACATTTCATCATATAAATAAAAAAGAAAAGGTAAAATAAATCTCAAAGTTCTTGAAATCCATTTTTCTGTCCTTACAAACTAAGAAAAAGAGTTTAGCCTTTTATATTTGTTGAACAACTAATCAAAAAGAAGAAGAAATGCATGATTTTGTATTTTTTAGAGGAAAGGGGGGTTTTTTTCTTCTTGGCTAGCCAGTTGCCTCCCTTCTTTTCCCTCATTCCTTTTATATCCTAGAAAGCCTTAGTCTCTATTTTATAAAATAGTCCTCCTTTAAGTAGACAATTTACATTTAAGTACTTCAATAACTATTTTCCTAAAAAAAAAGAAATAGCCTTGCATGAAATCTTCGAGCTTTGACTTAATGGAGCTAAATTGCTAAAATAAAAACTTGGATATCAGTTTAGATGCTACGGACTGTAATTTGGACTTGTTTATCCATGAAACCTGTTTGCTGGCAGAATTCAGTTGTCATCTTTGCAAAATCATATTGTTTTTTGCTGACATTTAGGGTGTTGATAGGCATTTGAGTTAGGAATCCAACAAAATTGAGTTTACATCAATTGGACTACTGTAGCTCCAGATATTCAAGTCGGAATGGCCAAAGGTCAACATTCGCATATTGCGATATTTGATTTTGAAGGCTGCAATTTCCATGCTCTTCTTTATTTTATTCTTTTGCCTTATATTTCCAAAAAGGTATGGTTGTTAGCTTTTTAATTCCATTGAAATCAATTTATTTTGACCTCTAAAACTCACACTCTACACAAACATTAACTGAAGGTCAAACTGTCAATTACCTCCAATTTACTCCTTTTTTCATCTTTCATCCAAAAGTGCCTTCAAAACATAAAATAAAGAATATCAAGACATTTATATGTAAAACATAGGTAAAACACTAGTTAAATATGGGCAAAACTATCGAATAATATGGTTGCATCATGATTTCCACGAAAGCAGCGTCTGACCAAAGAACCTAAGATAACCACCCGTTGATTTGTGATCATCAACACTACCTGCCCAATCTGTATCTCTTAAACCATATAAGGCAAAGAAAGGATTACAAGTAATATGTAGGCCACGTGATGTCATACCCTTAAGATAGCGCAATATGCATTTAACAACAGCCCAATAAGAATATGTAGAAGCATGTATAAACTGATAGACTTTGTTAATAACAAAACAAATATCTAGGCATGCAAAAATGAGCTATTAAAGAGCACCCACAATTTGACAAAAGTGTGTGGCATCAGAAAACAAGGGATCTGGTAAAATGGTAACTTTGGATATAAAGATAAGAGTATCAACAAGTTTACAAGATAACATACCAGTTTGAGGGAGGATATGTCAAGTGTATATTTATGTTGTTGAAGCAGAAGACCCATGACAGTAGGTTAAACCTCAATATCCAAAAAATAATGAATAAAACCCAAGTTGCGAAGCTTAAATTCAAAGCTCAGTAGTTGTATAAGGCATTAGAGTAGAAGAGAGTTACTACCCGTAAGCATAATATCATCAACGTAGACTAGAAGAAAATAAATACAAACAGAGAAGATAAACAATGAAGTATCCATTTTAAAGGCACGAAAACCAATAAATAATATGAAATCATTCAGGCAAGTGTACCAACTTATACAATCAACACACATGAAAGGGGAGAGTAGAATCAACAAAATTTAAAGGTTGCTTAATGTAAACCTCTTTATCAAGAACTCTAATGAGAAAGGTATTATGGATATCAAGTTGATGATTTTTCCAATCACACGAAATGAAAATGGAGAAGACTAGTGATTACTACTTAAAAGTGCATTTTTATTAAGGTTTTATATCATCATTTTGCACTTGAAGTATCAATAACTCCTTAACTAAAGCATGTTTTATAATAACAAATCTAATAATATAAGATACCTTTAATTTATAGTAAATATTCATTTTAAATGCAGGCCTATCACATAAATGAAAATATTGATTGATGACTTTAAGAACTTAAATTGCAAAGGCAAACAGATGGTCAAACTTAGAAAAGAGATGTCGGTGCAATCCAAACCGGAACACTGTTCGGTAATTGGGTCATATCTAGAGCTATATATCTCAGATTTAGGTCCAATTTATATGGATGGAAAGGTAAGAAAGTTTGGTTTTAAAAAGACCATTTTCAAATCCAAATTGTAGGAATAATGAAGAAGTCCGAATTTGTCCTACAGCTAGGACATTGTTCAGTGTTTGACCTATATCAGGAATTCTAGAATTCCAAATGACCTCCATTTTTTTCTTGGAAAGCTGAGACAATTTCCTACAATTTTTATATTTCAAGTGGTTCCAATTCTGACATTATCAAT